TGGGCAGGAAGAGGAGGCCTTGGTCACCCGCCGCACTTGGACCTGGTCAGTGCGAGGCTGTTTTGGTCTCTAGCTTTGCAGGTCAACAGAGAAGACAGACAAACAGGAAAAAAGGGGCCTGGCCCCGGCGGGCCGGTGGCGGGCATGAGAGGCGGGGGAGGGGGAAGGGGGAAGGGCCGGGGCTGGGGACGTGGAGGGGACGGAGGCAATGGAGGACCAGCCCAGCCCTGAACCCCGCCATCGAAGCTCCCCTCTCCGGCAGGCCCCTCCGCAGGGGACAGGTACAGGCGTCACGTGTGCATGTGTGTGAGCGTGTGACTCCATGCCAAGTGTGAGTGTTGGTGGGCGTGTGGCTGTGTCGTGTGTGCGAGGGTGTGGGGGCCAGGTAGCTGCAGGTGGGGAGGAGGAAGAGGGTGGGGGTGTCCCTGGCTTCCACAGGACCCTGGGGAGGAAGCTGGATCTCAGGGGCACATTAAGCCCTGGCTTGTCCCCTGCCCCACCCCCTCCCTTCCTGTCCCTCATCTCCGGCCAGCCAGGCCCTAATTGAGGAGGAGGAGGGGCCTGTGTGGGCCTGGGAGGGGCCCAAAGAGGGTGCTTTCACCCCTTCCTTGCCTGGGCCCAAAGAGGGACAGAAGGAGCCTGACTTGGGAAAGGGGAGTGAAGCTTTGCTACGGAGAAGCTGTGTGATCCAGGTCACCCATCCCTGGCCTCAATTTCCCCGCTTATACAATGGAGGCGCCGAACTCAGTGATCTCCCAGAGCACTGCCAGACCGGCCATTCTAGTGGAAGTCCCCTCCTGTGCAGGTCACTCCCAGAGGCTGGGCTGGGGCGGGGCAGGCGATGGAGAGCAGATCTGAGTGCCACCAGGCCACCTTCGTGCCGCTGACCAGCTGCCTAGGAGCCCGGGAGCCTGGCCAGGTAAGGGGCTGCGAAGGGGTCCAGGGGGACACACCTCGCCCCTCCTGCTCTGCCTCCAGCCCTCTGATGGTGGCCTCTCTTGCCGTTTGTCAGGGCAGGGGTCTATATGTCTGCCTTGGGTGCCCACTCCCAAATCCAGGTCTCGGGGGCTGCCTGGAAGGGTCCTGGGCTCTGTGCATCCATCTGTCTGACTGTCCCTCTCTATCTTCCTGGCCCAGAACTGGGCACAGGCCAGACCCCACCCCACACTGAAAGGCACCCACCACGCTGGCACCTTTCTAAGGGCTCCTCTCCAGAGACCCTGAGCAGTGGGGCTGGCCCCTCGAGTGGAGGCTGAGTTCGTCCCCCCGTCTCCTCCAGGTGCTCAGGACACCCGCCCCAGCCCCCCACCATGGTCTTGGCGTCCACCACCTCCGGTAAGGCTCTGCCCCTGGGCCCCCACCCACCTGGGATGAGCCAGGAGGCCAAGTGGGTTTGGTGAAGTAGAGAAGCCCCTCTTTCTAAAGGCCCCCCTTGTCCTCCTCTTTGGGGCAGGTGGGGACAAAGTGCTTCGCCCAGCTGTCAGTGAGGGGGGAGGGGATGGCATGGCTCTACGTACTCACTGGGGCTGGGGCCACCCTTCCCTCCGGGACTGCAGACATGGGAGCCAGGAAGTGGGAAGCTAGAGGGGATCGAGGGAAGCCGGAGGCCCAGGGTGACAACTGCCTGGGCCACTGGCTCTGGTGGCCAGGTGGGAACCTCCTTGGGCCCCCTGCACACACCCTCCCTAATTCAGCCCTCCTCCCCCACCCTGCCCAGCCATGCCCGGGCGTCTCCCTTCACCTAGCTGGCCCGGCAACCACAGCCAGGAGGCGCCATTGGATGCCCGGGACCCGCTGCTGGCCCAGGCAGAGCTAGCCCTGCTCGCCACGGTCTTTGTGGCCGTGGCTCTGAGCAATGGCCTGGTGTTGGGGGCCCTAGTGCGACGGGGCCGGCGGGGCCGCTGGGCGCCCATGCATGTCTTCATCGGCCACTTGTGCCTGGCCGACCTGGCCGTTGCTCTGTTCCAAGTGCTGCCCCAGCTGGCCTGGGATGCCACTGACCGCTTCCGTGGGCCCGACGCCCTGTGTCGGGCTGTCAAGTACCTGCAGATGGTAGGCATGTATGCCTCGTCCTACATGATCCTAGCCATGACGCTGGACCGCCACCGCGCCATCTGCCGCCCCATGCTGGCATACCGCCAGCTGCGGGCCCAGGCAGAGCTAGCCCTGCTCGCCACGGTCTTTGTGGCCGTGGCTCTGAGCAATGGCCTGGTGTTGGGGGCCCTAGTGCGACGGGGCCGGCGGGGCCGCTGGGCGCCCATGCATGTCTTCATCGGCCACTTGTGCCTGGCCGACCTGGCCGTTGCTCTGTTCCAAGTGCTGCCCCAGCTGGCCTGGGATGCCACTGACCGCTTCCGTGGGCCCGACGCCCTGTGTCGGGCTGTCAAGTACCTGCAGATGGTAGGCATGTATGCCTCGTCCTACATGATCCTAGCCATGACGCTGGACCGCCACCGCGCCATCTGCCGCCCCATGCTGGCATACCGCCACGGAGGTGGGGCTCACTGGAACCGGCCAGTGCTGGTGGCCTGGGCCTGCTCGCTCCTTCTCAGCCTGCCCCAGCTGTTCATCTTTGCCCAGCGCGATGTGGGAGATGGCAGTGGGGACCTCGACTGCTGGGCCCACTTTGCAGAGCCCTGGGGACTTCGCGCCTATGTCACCTGGATCGCCCTGATGGTGTTTGTGGCGCCTGCCCTGGGTATTGCTGCCTGCCAGGTGCTCATCTTCCGGGAGATCCATGCCAGTCTGGTGCCAGGGCCATCAGAGAGGGCTGGGGGGCGCCGCAGAGGGTGCCGGACAGGCAGGCCCAGTGAGGGAGCCCAGGTGTCAGCAGCCATGGCCAAGACCGTCAGGATGACGCTGGTGATTGTGATCGTCTATGTGCTGTGCTGGGCGCCCTTCTTCCTTGTGCAGCTGTGGGCAGCATGGGACCCGGAGGCGCCTCGGGAAGGTAGGTGTGGCTGTGGCCAGGACCATGGGGGCCACTCGGGCTTGGCTGTACACACCGCCCATCACCACCCCACTCCCGTGCGCTTATGTGGACTGTTAGCCCCCGGTGGGCACACAGGATCACACCCAGCTCCACCTCCGCAGGGCCCCCCTTCGTGCTGCTCATGCTGCTGGCCAGCCTCAACAGCTGCACCAACCCCTGGATCTACGCCTCCTTCAGCAGCAGCATCTCCTCGGAGCTGCGTGGCTTGCTCTGCTGGGCCCGGAGGCACGTCCCCGCCAGCCTGGGGCCCCAAGATGAGTCCTGCGCCACTGCCAGTTCCTCCCTGGCCAAGGACACCTCCTCGTGAGGAGCTGGTGGGAACCTTCCTTCCAGAGGCTCCATGAAGCTCAGCTGCCTGCCTGGGAGCCACTGAGAGAGAGGGGCCCACAGAGAATTGGCCTGGGGCCCCGTCACTGCCACACCCTCTGGGGTTAGCCATCCCCAGCTGGACAACGAGGACATCAGGCTCCGGGACTGGGAGGGCCCCTTAAGTCAGCTCCTCTGTGCCAGCACGGGGAGGGGCTGAGGCAGAGGGCTGCGAGGCCTGGGGTGGCAAGCGTCCCCCATGCGACAGGTCTGGGGAGCCAAAGAAGGGGCAGGGTGGGGCTGAGGACCTTCCTGTCTACACCTCTCTAATTACTCCCTTCTTCCCTCCCTTCTCACTCTCTCCCTAATAAAAGTTGCAGCCCATTTTCCACACGGTGAGGGGTCTCCTTGGATTAGGGAAATAGTGGGTGTGGCTGCGGCATGGGGACATACACAGTCCCCCACACCCACAGACACATGCAAGGCTCTGGAACCCAAAATGGGAGCAACCAAGCTGTCAGGTGCATGTCCGCAAGCGACATAGCTTGCACATGGACAGCTCTGTGCCAGGGGACCCCCAGTGGAAGCTGGTCCAGTGTCTGGCCTCTGGCAGTGAGAGGGCCAGGGGCTGGCCCTCTACCCAGCCCCGCAAGACAGAGTTGGCTCGCATCGGGAATCAACACACAGGTCTTTATGAATCGCCACCAATGGCCACCAGGCAGCTGAGGAAGAGATGGCCCAGGTGCTGGTGGGCCTGCTCACGTGTGCAAGAGCGCCCGCCACCAATAGCCACTGACGAGCCCTCACAGCAAAGCGAAGCCGCACAGGGGCGTGGAGCTGGGATCCCTGTTGGAGTAGCCTCGTTCTCCTCCCTGCATAGGGTCGAGAGCGGGTGCCCTGTGTTTGCCCAACAGGGCCAGGGAGAAGAAAAGGGCCTGGGGAGAGTGGCCAGTCTCACAGGTGGCTGCCTGGGCAGGGTGGGGCCTATGGGGAGCCAGGCAGCATGCTGGCTCCACCAGCAGCACCTCAGTGTGGCTGAAGGGGCTAGTCCAGGCCCTGGGGATGGGACGCTGAGGATGAGGCTGGGGTCCCAGGACCACGGAAGAAGCCTTTGTTTCTGCCGAGGCGGCTGCAGGCCAGAGGCTTCGGGCTGCGGGGCCCGGCGCTGGGGGAGGTGGTAGACGCTGGCCCAGGGCCCTGGCGGACAGCAGTCTTTCCCAAGAGCTCCTTGAACACAGAGTCCATGTTCTGTGCCACGACCTGGTGCCGCGGAAGGAAGGAGAGAGCATCTAGTGAGAGCCAGGCTGCTCCACCAACTAACCCTGCCCAAGCCTCCACTTGAGCTCCTCCCATTCCAAAAACAAAGTCTTCGGCCACCACCCTGCCACCAGGCCCCTCCTCTCCATGGGCCACACAGTGCTGGCTCCAACTGCCTGCCTCTCCTTCTTCAGCCTCCAGGTCACCTCTCCCACTCTGTGCCCGCCTTCCCTCCTGCCACCGTTTATATCTCTTTCACAGCCTCCTCTGGGGACAGCAATTCCTTGGCCTGGCCCTGAAGTGGGGGCTCCTCTGCCTGGGCCCCAGGACCCTCTCCTCACCTCCACTCTCTCTCTAGATGAGATCACCTGTTCCCCCGCCATGGCTTGTAAGGCCACCAGCATGCTGGGGACTCCCAGGTCATTGTCCTTCCCTGGGTTCTCCCAGCTTCCCAGCCCCAGCCCCCACCACGTGGCTCCTGCTCTTGTGTCCAACCCGCCTGTGCCCAGGCTCCCTAGGCCTGGGGGCTGGGACACCCACACACTCTTTCTCTCTCCCCCTCGGGCTCAGCGACTGTCCCTGGGGCTTTAGTGCTCAGCCCGTGAGTGCTCACAGGGCCCATCGTTACAGAGCAGGGAGCAGGGTCTCCCCAGGCTATGCTCCTTGCTGGGGCTGCATCCTGAGCCCACTCTCTGTGACAGCCACCACTGTCCCGCCATGCTCCCTACCCAGCCACCCCCTCCTGCATCCTTGCCATCTGTCCCTTTCATCTTCCGTGGCATGCCAAACACCTGCCATGTCACCGCCTGTCACCTAGCCTGCCTCCAGATGCCAGCCTTGAAGTCTGCCCAGAGCCCCTCACCCATACCAGCCTAGACCACCCAGACTCAACCCTGCCAACTCCCTGCTCCAGAAGCAAACATGAAGCCCAATGCATGAACCCCAGGCCCCAACCAGGCTGAGTGTCTTCTGTTCCCCTAGTCCCTGCCTCCGTACCCCACCCCCACCTGCACACCCTGGCGCTCCTGCCCCTCCCTGGGTTCCACCTGGGGCCTGACTGTCTGGCGGCTGGTACCCCTGAGCTGAGGCCGGGGAGCTGAGACCTCGGGAGGGAAGAGTCTGGCTCACAGGGGAAGCAGAGAGCCCCCCCAGGAGAAGCATCCGCCATCCGCCACAAGGCCAGTCCCGACTCTTACCTTATCCACCTCCCCATGTCGCTCCAGGGAACTTGGGACCAGGCAGGGTTGTCTGTGTCCCGGGGGGCCCACAGCCTCAGTTGGGGTGCACAGCTCTGGCCTGCAGAGCACAGACGGTGAGCCTGGAGGGGCCCTGGGAAGTCCCTGAGCTAACCTGGCAGTGGCTCCTCCCATCCCGGGCTGTGGCCACGGAACAGAGGCTGGCCCCAGTGGTCCCCATGTTCCTCTAGAGACTCTCCCTGTCACAGCCAAGCTGGGTCCATTCTGTCCTCCCTGGCGTCCCTCATCTGACGACTGGCTGCACCTCCACGTGGCCAAAGCCTGACCCCAGCCCCTTTGGCCTGGGACAGCACACATGATGGGCAAACGGGGCGTCTTCTCCTTGCTCACCGATGGGCCAGCTCCGAGGCCGGGAGGCCCTCTGCACGGCTCAGCAGCTCCCCTGCAGCCTGCAGCCCTGGGCCGGCCTCCTGCTTCTCTGCCCTGGGGCGGGAAAGACCGGCCTGTTGTGAGTGCTCCCTCCCAGCACAGGGTCCTGGGGCCAGCAGCCTCAGTGCCAGCCAGAAGCGGTTGGAAATGCTTGTTCTCAGGCCCGGCCCAGCCCTAAGGACTCTGACTCGGGGTGGGGGAGGGCAGCAGCCCGGCTTGGACGACCTCCAGTGTGACACCTGGGCGAGAGCTGGGGGGCGCAGCTGTGAGCATCGAGGTCCGGGAGGGCCGAGGCCACACACCGGGGAAGCCAGGCGGCAGCTCACTCACCCCGCAGGCAGCGTGATGTACTTGTGGGGAATGAGTCCCCGCACGCCGGCGTGCTCCCCCCGCCACCAG